CCCCCCCACACACACACGCTAATCAGCCCCCATATCTCCCACCCTCTATCTATCTTTCCTTCCACAAAAACCCCTCCCCTAACCCACCACCCAATAAATAAAACACACAAATAAGCCAGAAGGGGGCGGATAGATTAGGCGAGTTCAATAGCAACAATTAATTCTGCAACAAGAAAAGACAGGCACGAGCACCATGTGCTCTATTGTAACTGCACCAATAAAACCTGCTCAGCCTAGGGAGTGATAGGGCTGGGCAAAGAGTCACTTTAGCAAAATCCGGATAATAATTATATTACTGCACTTCTTCGGCAAATAATGTTATGAACTGCTTCGACAGACGTGTTAGAACCACATTGCTATTTCGAGGTGCCTTGATAGTCGAAGCAGACTTTGTGCTGCTAGAGCTAGAGAGGTGAGCAGAGTAAGCCTGATTCCCTGTTTGGACTTCTCTGTTGGCATCCACCTCTTGGCGCTCATATGCAGTGGCGAGCGCCGTAAAACCTCTACTAAAACAAACAAACAAGAACCACATCCACAAACAGGTCAGAACCACTTCAACAAATTATGGATGCATCCACTTCGGCAAATGGGCGAGGAAAGAGAGTTGAGTCTGAATTTGGATAATGTTTCACTAAGAATTATCCGGTTATCTCGATAGTTATCCGGACTTTGCCCACCTCTAGACTGAATGAGTCCCTCGCACGGTTCATCAGTGTGAGCGGCCGGGCCCTGTGAGCGGCCAACCATTACACAATAGGACGAGAGCGCTTTCTTCTCAGTCTCTTTGATAAAACTCTGTCTCTTTGATAAAACTGCATGATGCATGAGGGGGGACACGTTTTTTGGGTTTCTTTTTTATAATATTATATTTCTTTGGGATTTTTTAAAATCTCTCTTTTCATTCGTTCTTGATCTACGACGAAATGTGCAATACTGTTGAGCATTAACAATCTTCTGTCTTTGATTTGACAAATTTGAGCAGCAACAATCCTTTGTCCCCAGACAAATTTGCTTGATGAATGGGTTATTCTAGTTTTGGACTCCGTGTTTTAGGAAAGGATGTCAGGGAATATTTATTTTTTTAAAACAACAACAACAACACCCGAATAATATGAACGAAAACAGAAATCCAAGAAGAAAAAGAAATAAAATGGACATTTAAAAAAAGAAAAAGAAGAAGAAGAAAGGGAAGACCAATTAAAAAATGAAGATAAAAGGTACAAAGCAAGAGG